ACTAATATGGGCTTACCAACTAGGCAAAGTTACCAGGTAAAGTTGCTGCGTGATGCTTACAAGATAAGTTACCAACTAGGGATACAGGCAAGTTTTATCCCGATGGGGTTACCAGGTTGGTGGCGTGCTTGTACTACGGTGTTAGGCGCGTCGTTCACACGTTATCAACATATATACAGCGTACACAACCGCTACGCTGGCCGGAGCGATGGTGTCAGATGCTCAGCGATTAAACGCTTTCAGCTATTGCCGAAAATGTCGAATCCATTTCCCGACGGCCGCGCGCCCCACTGGTCAGTTATGCTGCCGGGCTCTCACGCCGTGACCGCAAATCCCCGGCGGGCCACGCCCCGCCACGGCGGCCCGTCTGAATGAACGGAACACGGCTAGCTAGCTTAGCACCGCAAGTGCAGTAGTGAACAACCGGCACAATGGCGGCAATAGTTCTTAAGTCCGCCGCTGTGACCTGGCATCAATTGTTTGAGAATCCTCCATCAACGAGGATGTATTGTCCACAAGAACCCGATTACTTATATAGTATACTCCGAACCTTATTTATTATAAAGCTAGTAGTTAATAATTTTGATCTGTCTTATCCACCTCTCTTGTGCCAGGAAAATTTCATTCTGTTATATCAAAGATTTTGTTATATCTGATGCTCGGTTATAACAGGGCTGCATGCTAATTCTTGTACATGTATTTCTATGAAGAATAGTGTTCGAAAAAAATCAAACATTTGTAGGGGGGAAGGGGGGGTCTCCGAAAAGTGTACTCTTTGTACACTTGGTGGAAATTTGATAATTGTTGAACGGACCCTTACTGGGTAGGTTATTTAGCCGTGATGTACCATTGGGGTGGCAAATCTCAAGGACACTCCGAAGAGACGATGTAATTCAGAAATGGATTCAAGGAATATAAGAACTTAGGGAATTGGTTAACTTCTTTATTGTTGCTGCACCAGTGGAGATAAATAGTAATTAAGAATCAAAAGTTATTTCATCCAATTCACTATGGCAACCTAACCTAAAGGTTTTAGGTGCTTATAACATTGTATTTATTCCCTGATCGAGAAACTATTTATCCTTACAATTTACATTTCAAATTGCCGATTCTAGTAACCATTATTTTATGCTTGTGTTTATGTTGTATATCTGCCGGAGTTTTTTTGCCATTCCAAAGTTGATTTTGTTTACTACAGACAGTTACTTTCTTCATAATAGAAGGACTGTGTATAGCTGTTTAAGTGCTCAGGGTCAGAACTGCGTGCTCACAGTCGTACACCAGACGATTTCGTTCACCTCAAAAAATAAAAATGGATTATGCCTTTTTAAACTTTACAAAAGTCCGATGTAGTTTTCGGTTTGTATCACCAGCCGTTATTACACTAAACGTTTGAAACACCAACAGGTAGGGTTATTGATGATAGGCCCAACGTGCGTCAGGGTCTGGAGCAATAAGGCCACACTCTGTCGAACGTAGGCCGATGTAGACCCCAGTAAAGCGTGTACTATTGCTTTTTTACTTTTTGCAACATAAGGCAGGCATAATAATAGCGCATTCTTACATGACCAAAAAAATCGCCGTAATTCTCTGATGACGACTTGACTTTTAAGAGGTTCAGCCTTTCCTTAACTTCTTCAAAAATGGAGATAGGACCATTTTTTTACATGACACTTGACATGATGTCCAGAATAAAAATTATAAATTTCAAGAGGTTACATTCAAATTGTCAATAAAAAGTTATTATAGAGCAAACGTGTTACTATAGACTTCGCTATAAGCTATGTACATAGAATCAACGTATGCATAAAAACAGTATGTAGAAAGTAGGCGCATAATTTTTGTGTATATAGGATGCATATACTTTACAATAATATACATAATAGGCATCTCCAAGAATAAAAGCGCATGATAAGCAGATTACATCCGCACAGGTCTAAACGTAGATAGACTAACAGCAATTGCCAAGCACTTGGAGACGTTTATATGTGCAATGTGATGTGCGTAAACCATGTCAATATACATTCATATGCCGGAGAAATTTTTTTTTGTTAATTTACTCTACGACTATTCGAAATCTGGACTAGAGTCTATTAAATGGGGTGTATTTATGTCGCTTTCCAGGACAATATGAATTTGTTATGCCCATTTTTGTAAACATGTTGGTTCCTTTTGTATAATATTGAATGCATTTCATAAATAGTAAGCACGTGCTAATGCATATAACTAGACACCAATTCCTTGAAGACAAATATTGTGCATCTTTGAATGCCCAGTAATTGGCCGTAATGCTGCCGAACAATGTGGCTGATCACCTCGACATCGTCCTATGAAAACTCGGAGTTTCTGATTATTCTCTGTATATTCTGCCTGTGGTAGCCTCTTATAAACCCTGCCATGCATATCCAATGCTTCGCACCATTCCATCAGTAATAGGAACCTTGATTGAGAAAAAGAATCATGGCTACGTCAAAGTTTATACAAACACAACATTGCAGGATGTGTTGAGTCATAAACTAAACAACAGGAGTAATAAGATATAGTAGGTGTTCGGCGCAAGTTTACTTATGGGATTAGTGTTCTATCCTGTTCTATGACGGAACCTGGGGGCTGTTGGAGTTATTATGGCATCGAATTGTATTCAGGCGTGTAGCGTTTCCAGCGTGCTAAAAATAAAATGTGTTGCTCACGCGAGCTAGCAGCTGATTTTAGCTGTTGTTTTCCATCGTGTTCCTGAGGATAAGGACGTAACAAGTGCTTTACTTGTGCTAATATCACAACAGCCCCAGTGTCCCGTAATTACAACCTGTGCCTGCGCCGCATTATCAACCTTGAGCCGAATACATGCCGAAGTTTTGCGAAAACTGTGTGAAAACCCGGGTCGTAGTTCAAAGAACTTTTTTTGAAGAACAACATTACGATTTTCAGGTGAAATTGGTGTGTCATAATGATTAAGGGAATCATAGACGAAAACAAGGTAAAGTTTGGAATATTTTTTATATCACATATTGCATTAGAATATGTTACAAGTTGGAAAACTATGCAAAACGCTGGGTAAACGGTGTTCATACTCGTCATCTATTAGTGTACTCTTGATGTATATAAAATATGTTGTGAAGTTGATAGTGAATTAAAAGTAACCTAGCATATTGACAGGGGCGTCGATCAATTTCACCACATTACCTTTGTTTCTGAGTTTTCGAGGAGACCTTACACGCATTCTACTTCCTAGAAGTTCGCAGCCTCTTCCCATGAGCGTTTTCTTAACATCACGGTACAAACGTGGTCTGCCATGTTTACCTGCTTAACATAACCGG